TCGCTCACTCCAGTAAAAGAGTGCGTACGCATAGAGTGTCCGTACGGTGCGCACATATTTACGCCTATTTTTTATCAATCCCGATATGTGCGTGGAAAATTGCGTACGCACATTTCCATGCCCATTTTGTGCGTACGCAACGTTTAGGCCCCTGATCTTTTACATTTGACAAAGTTAAGGTGCGTTTGCCTTCGGTATTTCCCGTGCTGCAGCACAGGCGGGAGAATCAACTTGGACAACAACTAGCCTGCATACCTTAGGTAACAACGCGCTATACAATGTAACGTGACCAGTGCTGTGTAGCAAATGATTCCAAAAATTAAGTACTTGCACTTAACTACAGTTACATTTTTATTGATTACATAATTACATATTATTCACACTATAGCAATAAATTATTCATAAATTATTAGTTCTTCCTAATTCTTTTTCACCTTTTAAATTTTTCTTTCTAAAATAGCCTGATTCTTATGTACATTCGGAAAGTCTTTCAGTTTTGTGGACATTCACATAAAGACCAGTCACTAGTCAGGTGGCTATAATTACACAGAAAAATGAGAGGCCACACAGCATTTGAACACTGGCTTTACAAAAATGTGTTTTTCAGCATTTCAACATTGCATTATACTGATATACACATACATTTTTATTTGAATTAGCACTCAATGTGTTATTTAACCATGTATTACTAAGTCTTACATGCACATATAAAAAATAAAATGCACATATTTACTTTTTTTTTTATTTACATGTAATGCAGTGTTTCTCTCTCTCTCTCTCTCTCTCTCTCTCTCTCTCTCTCTCTCTCTCTCTCTCTTTTTTTGCATCCAAACCTCTTTCACATCTGTTTTTAAGGTAATGAGTTGTTATTTTAAAATGATTTATTTTAATTGTACATTTTTATGATTTAATTCATTATTAGCTTTCCATTAAGCCCACGAACGAAGTTTGGGAAACCTTGATGTAATGTAATGTTTAATGCACTTCATGTTTTTGATAACAACAAATGGAATATATTTTCTTTCTCTTTGTATTTTTATATCAATATCGCACAAGATTATCCTTTTTAAATCAATGTAATACACAAGTTAGGTCAAAAGTAATCTAAAAGTATTCAAAAAGTAGTCTTATATTACCTAAAATGTGTAATGTAATAGATTTCGTCTAATGTCTATTATCTTTCTGTCTATTAATCTGTTTTTTATAATGTTGTAGATTGACGTGGCAGCTGCATCCAGACATACTCATTTCATAGGGAAGAAAGAGAACATCATTCAAGACAGACGAGTGGTGAAGTCAGTAGGTGAAAGAGATGTTCTCGTGATTTACCACCAGGGGGACTTCTATGCTATTGATGTGCGCTGCTACCGTAGGTTAAGGACCGCTTTACTTAAAGGGATATTCCACCCCAAAATTAAAATGTTGTCGTCATTTTCTCATCCTTATATCATTCCAATTTCTTTCCCTTGACACAAATAGAAAATATACACCTATATAATGCTTGGTCCTGGTTAATTATTTTGTCTGCTCAGAATTTTACAGATTGAAGGCCATGTACATCCTTCCGTCCTCATTAATATGTTCATAAAATATATCTGTTGACATATATTAAACAATATATGTTTAAATAACACTGTTGTGCTTTTATTTTGTTGCAGACTCTGGAGGTCCACTTCAGGAAGGAGATATTGAGGTGAGTTGTTGTGAAGCATTTAATTAGACCATTTCTTTTCTTATTTATATTATATGCCACAAATTTGTTTTAACTGTTCTTTTTTTTTTTATGTTGCCAGTGAAGGACTTTGATGGGCGACCATCCATAGTGGGCCCATGGCATAAGTATAAAATTACATTGGCTGAGGGTGAGGGTCTCTATCAGGCAGTGGACCCTTCTGTGAAACCCCTGAAACCAACCTGGTGCTCCAAAGGTGTTAAGCAAAGAGTCCACACAGTGACGCTGTCTAATGAAGACGTGTTCCTCACCTTTAAATGACTCACCAGGGCCCATTGACTCTGATTACTATCAAACTGAGAAATATAGAAACACTTTTCTGAAAGACTGGCCGAAGAAAACGAAGTGACATCACAGGAAGATATGAGATAAGTTGAGTGTCTCAGGTATCAGCTGATCAGCAAATGTGTTCTGCTAAATTCGTTTTTACCTGTCACTGCTGGAAAATCTAGTTAAGCTATAAAGCTGGTCTAGCTGGTTTGTAACAGACCTAAGCTGGTCAACCAACTCATTGGTTGTGACAAGTGCAAAGACAGCGAAAGAAATTTGGCAGAGTAGACACCTAAAAACAAGCTTATGAAACTTTGCAGTACTATCCAGTTATGTTTGTAGGACACTTTGGATGTTCTTAACTACTTCTTATCCTATTATTGTTGATAACAAAGTTTGGCACAATCATATTTACATTACAGTGTTACTGAAAATGATGATAAAGTCATAGGAAATTGAAAAGTAAAATAATGTACTATTATATTCCCTGTTTAAAATAAATAATTAAATATGCTTAGACTCAAGTGTCCAACGTCTTTTATTAATATTTTTAATTTTGTGAACAGGAGGGAGGTCCTCAGAGCTGGTGGGGGGTTTGATTTAAGTACTAACAGTGATGACTGATAGTGGAGTGTGTCAGGAGGTCAGAAGGTGACATGAAAAAAATGAAAGGCCAAGGATGGAAGTGAAAGGAGGTGTTTAAATGAGAGAAATGGGTTTGTAATCTGTGTGTAAAAAGGAGTGGTTGAGGTAGACTTGAGGGCTGGAGGAATGCTTAAACATAGCAAATGTAGACTAGATAACATTCGACAGCAATGCCAATGACTAAAAAAGACCTGTAAGATGAGATGCAATGCAGGAAGTAATTTCCTTTCCAATCAATATCAAGTATGCAGTGCATACAGGTTTGATGAAAGAAAATCTCACCTACATGCACATTATAGAGCACAATATTTTTAATAGTACTTGATTTGTTCATATTTTAAGAACATCTTGCAAAGCAAAAACAATAATAGCAACCTAAACACAACTTAAAATAAATGCATATTGTCTCAGTATTTTGTTTAACCCAAAGACTGCAAGTTTAAACAAAACTTACTTCAATCCTTGGGTGGTAAAGCATGTAAAATAACATCACTGCAGTTTAGGCTTCACTCTTAAGGGGTCAAAGGGTTCAAGGATGACTGGAAACCTTTCATTTACTGCTATTCAACTAGGCAGCTTGACTTATAGGTTTCCATAACATATTACCTGATTAAAAAATTTCCAAGTGACTGTACACGGCATTAAGATTAACAAAGATTAAAAAAAAAAATGTACACCGTGGTCAGAGGTGGAGACCTGTGCAAAGGAAGGTATTTAAAGTGCCATAGGGGGGTGCGCAGCCCCCCAGTAACACTATCTTCACCATAATGTAGGATATCTTGATGGCAAGGGTAGCTCAAGACGACCAGACCCAAACAAATAATAATAATCACACATCACTAGTTCTAAAATCTAATGTGATAATATTAACTTCAAACTAGAAAATATACCCTACATATACAGTCCTAAACTGTGTCAGCACCACTTCGGTCCCTGTGCCCCCTCCCCATATGCAAATTAATGAGGGTTGCACAGGTAGTAGAATGTCTAAAGTGGACTATCAAAATACAGTGTAAGCACTCGGTTTTCCTTTTACCAGATCTGCCAGTTATGTAACTCATCAGCCTATGACAGCTCACCTCAAGTTCTTCACTTCAGACTGTAAAAAAGCTTGCTTTCTCTGCAAGGGGAATTTGTGTGTGTGCGTGTGTGTGTTTAGTTGTCACTGAGAGAAATAGAGCAGGAATGTATGTATCTCAGACTGGGAATTTGTGTAGGCTACATCGTATGTGTGTGTATGTAGATAATCTAGAACTTAAATCACTAACTTGTAGCCTATATAGTATGCATACATTTGTATGTATAGGTCTAATTAAAAATGAATTGGTCAGCTTTTTCATTTGTTACACACATTCACACATAGTGTTGAATATTCGCAATTGTTACTGTTATCTAAATGTGGTCGACATTCGTTTTACTTTTTACAAGGCCAAGTCCAACTAAAACACCACTTGTACAGTGCAAGACACCTATTTTTAACGAGTTACCTAAATAGACTTTCCTACAATATGTTTTCAAACAATTTTCACTCTGAAATCGCGTGTGTAGCTTTAAAAAGTGACGTTTTGCCGTCGGACCGGAGTTATAATAATGTTATGCAACTTTGCAAAGAGCTGTGGGGTCTGCCCACTTCATGTCACGATGATGAAGACTGATGCTGAGATGTGTGGACTGCGTTTCTAACCCCCTTCCCCCATAAGCAGACAGAGAGATGAAACAAATCTACGCGCCTTTAAATAGAACCATGTTGTCATTCTGACTGCTGTTATCTGACTGCCAGAGCGGAGACGGACCCGCTCGTCATCCATTGCAGAAGAAATACACTTTTTATTCTTTCATTCCACACACTCTTCACAGTAAACATGCCTAGCAACAGAAAGAAGAACAAGCGCCGAATGAGAAAAGTGGTGAGTACATTTACTTTCCTACTTTTTATTATTTTTTATTCAGATTCATTGTCCTGCAAACAATTCAGATTTAATTTTTAGCGTCCAAACTGTTTTAATATCTGATTAATTTTTTGTAGTTTTTTCTGTCGGTTTTGCATGGACTTTATATGATGTTTTTTTTTTTTTTAATAAACTGCATAATTCATTTTTAGCGATCCTTTCTCCAATAATGTTATTTAATTCTGTTTATTTATTATAAATAACATTTAGTGAACTGTCGTCATAGGTTTATAATTTTCTGTTCTCTGGTCATTGGTCCATTATTTCCATATGAAGAATTAATTGATCTTTTCTGAGGTTGTTACTTGCAGTGTCATATGTAGTACAAGGGGTGTGTCCCATAAGAACCAGTACAGAGATGCAACCGAATTGCACATCCTACCTTGTATCTCTAGAAACATTTGAATTAAGAAATAAATAATATATAATAATAAATAACAATAATTGTGTAAATATTGCAAATCTTTTCATTGTAAAACCTTTTTTAAAAAGTGTTGCTTGGATTGTGCATATGAAATGCCCATTTAAAATAACATACTTCTGACTTCTGACCTATCACTGTTTAGCATTGTGCCTGATAACAATAAATACCAGAATCATAATAATAATAATTACTGTCTGTTTTTGTGTATTCCATGGCTGTGTTTCACCTCTAAAGTTTGATTGGTTTGCTTTGCGGCCTTTTTTCTTTGTTCTGTCAGTGCAATAAACCAAATCTTGCCTTTTGACCCCACCTCCAAACTCATATGGACTTTTGTTGATTTTGGCACGTCCTTTGGGTCAGTCTAATTCCAAATATGGTTCAGGGCATATTCCTACAGAGGCAGTTGGTTCAGAGTTTACATCCACTGGGTTTGTTTATAACTGACCCATTATAAACCCATTGATTTTTGGAAAGTGATGTAGTTTACATTTTGTCAGTGCAAAGAAATGTTGCACTATATTGACCATGCCTCACAAGACATTTTTTTCTTCTCTGACCAGTGACATAATGAAAAACACACAGTTTGTGCAAATGAACACTGGACTCTTTGTTTGAATTTTACAGCAGCTTGTAAAATTGTATGTCATTAAAATCTCAACCTTTTCATTCTGCTTAGCTAAACATGTAGCTGATTAATGCTCACTTGTTGTCCTAAAACCTTGGCATGCAGTCATATCAACATAACTGCCTTTCACACAAGTACAGCAATAGAGGGGTATCTTTTATCTCTCTGGCTGTTAAGCTGGTCCTAAACAGGGCACATTTCACCGTCTCTAATCATCCTGGTAAAATAGGAAATAGTGAGTACTGGGGGTTGAGTTCATTCCAACACCATGTTTGTTGCTAACCACCCTTCAAAACAGAAGAAACTTTTCTTTTTTTTTAACTCAGCTGCCAGATCCAGTCAACTCATATTTTTCAGCTGTAGGCCCATCCACAATCTTCCAAACTACTTTCTCCTGTTTTTATAGAATGAACAGCCTTGAAGCAAAATGTGCTTCTTCTTTTTTTCCCTATCCACCTCCTCTGTTCCCCCAAACGGCAGGCCGTTTATTCTGTTATGCTGGCCTGTTTCATGGACTTGGGACCATGTTTTGCCTGATTTGGCTTTGTCTGTGCTGATGCTGTCTTCACACATGGTTGCATAATTTGGCCTTAATTGTGCTGGACACTGTACATCCCATACATGCACAATGAGAGCTTACATTCTTTTGAGGCCTATATGTAAACCTCACTGGCCAGCTCTTGCTTTTGGATAATGAAGCTGTGAGTGTGATTATAATGCGATTATGGTTCCATTATGACGTGATTAGCATTTTTGTCCATTCTGTTTAGCCCCATCCAGAGCTCCAAGAGGGTCTGACTCTTCCAACTCACTTGACTAAGAATGTTTGAATCAATTGGATTCAGCCATTTTTAGCCATTAGACAGCTAACTTTTGTTCACTTATGTAAGCTTTTAGTGAAGTTGTTTAACCCTGTCTAACAATATTATGAGGTCAACTGAACTAAAGATAAGAAATAAATTGGTTCAGATTTCAAAACTCAACTATTTCTCATTCTTTCGTTTGAATTGAGCAGCAGGCCCAGAGAAAGGCTTTGGAGGAGAGGTTTGTCTCCTCTGGAAAGGGAACCCCAGGAGTGTGTGCTGTCCCTGCCCCAGTTCCTGCACAAGTTCCAGTTTCTAAAATCTCAGAGTGTCCCATTGCGGTTCCAATTCCCCTGGCAGTGATTGCTCCCATTGACGTTCCTGCTGAAGTAACTCCTGCAGAACCAGTCATGGTACAAGCCCCAGTCACAGATGCCATCAAAGACGAAGTGGTGAAAGCTGCAGAGGACCTAAGACAAACCCCAGTGGAACCCTCTGCAAAAGAGCTAGTTTTGACTGAGGATGGTGACAGCATTGCCATTCCAGTATTAGAGGTAATGTGCTATCGAACCCTCCTGTTAATAATTATCAAGTGCACACCAAAAATTGTAGGAAGTAATTATCAATTATTACATTGGACTCGAGGAGTCATGCAGATGTTACTGTTGTGACCAATATAAAAGTATTTGCCTGGCAGTAATGGCTTTTTGCAGCCATCATGGAAGATAGAGGTGTGATCATGAATGCAATGTAGGAGGGCAATATTTTAGTGAGCGAACATTGTGTACAGCATGCCTGGAGCCATGGCAAATTTTTCCGAACTGCAGGGGTTTTTTTTGGTTTTTTTTGGAAAATAAGATTATTAGCTTTTCTGAATGCTGCTCCCTTTTTAGGAACAGTATTTCATACTTGTCGTTGAACACGAGTTGGCTCTGCAGGATTTTATCTGGTGGAATGTGTTGAATATATGAGAGTAGTTATTCTTGTATTTGTCCTTAGGCCTGGTTTCACACATACTCTGTCTTTAGTAAGTCTGCTGGTCGTGAGCAGGGCTGCCAAAAAAGGGGTGGGCAACTGGACTGTTTGTCCCGGGCGCAAGCTTGAGGGGGCTTGGATTGTAAAGCGATTACAATTTCGACTGAGGGGGACAAGGGAACGCAATTTCAACCAATGCAGCCCTGGAAAAATGATTGCGCCGAAGCCGGTGATGATTTTTTTTTTGTACCAGGCCCTATAGTTGCTTACTGAGCATAAAGGTGCAGTCACATTTACTGTTGTTTGGCAAATTTTTTAGGGCGAAAACACGTAATTTGAATAGGAAACATCACATTTGGGAATTTCACACGTATTACAAGTAACGCAAGTTACGTAATCAGATTATTTTTTTCAAGTAACTGTTAAAGTAACACATTACTTTTAAATTTACAAGAAAAGAGTTATTTTTTCAAATAATTAACACGTTACTTTGTTTTTCCATTTATTCACTGACACCTCTCCTGTCCCCATGTTGAGAGAAATTAGTTACACAATTAGTTACTTTTTGTGGAGTAAAGCAATATTGGAATGCATTACTCTTAAAAGTAACTTTCCCTAACACTGATTGTGCCTATATGCAAGCGGACGTTCCCCCTAAATGATCCCAAAATATGAAGTCACTGCTACTCTCTCCTCAAGCTCCTGCACCTCACCCTCCCTCCTGTTTTTTGAAGAGCAGCCAAGCTTTTAAAGCCCACCCTTCTTTTCCTGTGAGCACTGCTTCAGCCTCTCCTCTCTTTTCACAGACATCACAAGTGCTTGGGTTGGACATCCACACACACTGAGAGTGGCACAGGGCAGGGCAAGAGAGAGAGGCACATATCCTTATAGTGAGTGTCACGTTAAGGGCTTTTTTTTTTTTTAGTTTACTGGAGTGTCAGGTCTGTGACAGCATGGAGGAACTTATATGTGTATGTGCAGATAGGTGGGTGGAGACGAGAAATGTGCTTGGGTGGGGTGCATGGCCTAGTCATGCATGCTAATGAGGGGGTGTGGCACCTTTAATCATTTATTGTTAAATCTGAATGTAGAGAGTTACTACTAAAGAAATTAGAACTGTAAAAGCAATTGTTTTCTAACTTAATAATAGCCATTGTTTTGTTTAAGATGGTAAAACTTTATTTTTGAAGAAAGAGAATATGAAGCAGATATCTGACTGTAGGCTCATTCATAACCACATGCAATCGCTCAGCTCTGAGGAGGCGTGGTGGCCAACAGAATCTCCTTTGTCTTTAACAACAATCTTTATGACAACAGTTGTGTGTAAGTCTTTGTGTAGTTTATACAATACATGTAGTTAAATGTCATTCTGAGCATCAATGATGTGAGCATACATTAAACATTAAATGGGGATCCAAATAAACAAATACATTAAACAGTAATACTTTACCATGGTTATTATAGTTTTGAATGTTGTTTTTATTTCTGTTTTTTTTTTTTAATCCAATTTAGTTTTGTTTAGTTTTTACTTTGTCGTTAGTTTTAGGATTTTCTAGTTTTAGTTTTTAACATTTTAGCGCTGCTAGAGTTAATGTGCTATTTGAAAATGTTTGATGGCGTAAAACTTTCTCAGCGCTGTCTTTTGGCGTTTTCATGCTTGATGAAGGTGAATTGTAAAACTAAACATTTGTGGCAATGTGGCAATGGCATTAAAAGATTTGCATTATTGCATTCATTTTCATCCATTTTTGCTTATAGTTGTACTTTTATAGGTAAAATTGTAGTCTCATTACAACCTTAAAAGAAAAGAGAAACTTAATTTCCGTATGCTGATAGGTATGGAAGCCCATTTCCACAAACTTTTTATGTCATAATTATTACTTGCTATGTCATAATTGTGATTATGATACCAAAGCATGACTTTTTTCTTATATGGAAGAAATGGGCTTCCACAAATACAGTACATGCATTGGAGAGTTGGAACAGTGGAAGATCTCAGAACAGTCTGTCATACTGTTTTGTTGTTGTTGTTGTTTTCCCAAAGAGTTCAATTAGCCATGGAACATTTTGTTCTGCTCCCACAGGGGGCGTTTGGAGCACTTGTGAGCAAGTGCAAGTGTTCAGTACTCAATGCAGAGACTGGCATAGTAATGTAAAACACATCAATATATTAAATCATACTCAGTATTTCAGCAACATGCATATGTTGTACTCGTATTACACTTTGCTCTGCAATGAACATGCATTATTAACATTTAGCATTTTATTTTATCCCCGTTTCTCACCATTTGGTAGAGTTAGTTTTGTCTAAAACTCATAACTTTTGGTTAGAGATTCTTGTTGTTGTTTCATAATGTATAAATTAAAGTGTTGTGAAGTGTTATGATTGTCAGTATTATAATATACTGTAGTTTAAGAGACTTTATGACAGACAGTTGTGTAACACAATGAATCTTTAGTGTGATGTGGACATTGAGCTTTAAAATTTTGTGCCTTACTGTTCTTTTTAGGTCATATCATCTATAGATGAGCCAGTGTCCAACCCTGCAGAATCTGAGGTATGGTAACATGCCATATCCCATCAGCCCTTGACATTTCACCAATGTTTATCTACTAAACACCCTTGCCTTTGGCCATTCACACTAATGAGCTGGTAAAGGTGTTTTTCCTAATTACCAGGCCTCTGGCGCCACACCTTACCTTTCAGGGTGCACTAACATGCTTTTCTCATAACTTTGCTTTATGAGGTGTAAAGAAAACATATTAACCCATACTAACAAGGACTCTAGCTTTACACAAATATACAGCATGCCTATAGAATATACATAAATAAGACTTTGTAATGAGTATGTAAAAGACTTTATCAATGGAATTTGTTCATTCTTTAATCATGATCTTTTTAAAATATGCTATTCACAGGTCCAGTTTGAGGACACTACACCTGTAGCCACAGAGGTAGGTTTATATACATATGTATAGATGGATAATTATTTTATCTTAATAAATTAATATCACTTTTTTTATATACTTAATTATTTTTGGTTTCATACTATTTGTTTTACCACCACAAAACAAAATGAAAATGTTCTTTTAAATCCTTTAAAATAATTGAATCAATAAAAACTCTTCAAAGATTGTAATGCAAAATCATTTTTTGTTGTGTTGAACGTTTGAGGTCAGTAAGATTAAAAAAATAAATAAATTATACTTTTATTCATTAGGGGCTCATTAAATTGATCAAAAGTGGCAGTAAGACTTTCAGATTGTTACAAAAATAAAAATAAAATAAATAAATAAATAAATAATTCAAATAAAAAGTTTCTTGAGCACCAAATCAGCATATGATTTCTGAAGAATCACAGGAATAAATACCATGTTTAAATATCTTGTAATAGAAAAGTTATTTAAAATTTTTTAAATTGTAAAAATATTTCACAATATTTCTGTTTTACTGTATTTTTAAATAAATGCAGTTTTCTTAAAGCTGTAGTCCGTAACTTTTTTTGGTAAAAAATGATCCGAAATCAATATTTGAGCAAGTACATAACCAGCCAGTGTTCAAAACTATCGTCTTACTTTAGCCCGATTCACAACGGTTATCTTATAATAATGTTATCTAATTTGAGTGGTACGGGTAGGTTTTCGTGGGAAATTTGAGCATGCCGCTGCGTCATTACGTCATGTCTGTAAACATAAAGAAGTTGTCTAGAAGCTAGGCTATCGCATTTGAGGACCCTGCAGGTGGCGGATCGTTTATAGCCTTTTCTCACAGCAGCCAGAATAATTAAATTTATCATTTTGATGGCGGATTGTAATCCATAAAGGATTATGTGTTTATGAAACATGTGAATTAAATTAAATTATATTCCAGTTATAAATGTGCTTCTGATTACAGATAGCCTGGGATTACACAAGATTTGTATTTTAAAGACAACCAGTTCAAAGGAAGCATAATTTGCTTTTTGGGTTAAAAAAATGTCTTAATATGAAATTCGAAGAGTATGACAATTAGATTACACTGTGTAGAAATTTAAATCTACACGCTAATACACACTATACTCATAGTCACCAATGCTGATGTTATTAACATTAATCATTTGAGAATAAAGTATAACAATAATAATAATTTGAATGGTTTGATGTGATATGAGCTAACCGATCTTTAGATTTAATCACCATTGGTTGATTTAGGCTATGGTAATGCTTTTTTTCCTCAGTTGGTCAGAACAAACGTGGCAGACTTGTTACTTACTTGTTCAGATGTAAATATACGGTGAAAATTCTTAGTTGGGTCATATTCCAAGACGTAGGCTAGAATCTGTGATTGCGAAGTACAGTAAATATCCACACCGGTGCGGTGACTGACAGCCACACATACTCTTCAGAACATTAGATTCATCCGCACTGGAGCCGTGCCGACTCACAACCCACGCAAGCTAGATAATTCCGCACACAGCTGCAATTCCAGGTTTTCAAACAGAGATAGCGACAAAGAGGCAAAACTTACGGACTGCAGCTTTAAATAAATGCAGTCTTGGTGATCATTACAGATCTTTTAAAAACATCAAAAAAATCTTAATGTCCCCAGACTTTTGAATGGTAGCATAGAACATTGATGTATTAAATATGATATATATTTTGAATCATATTCTTATCATAATTTGTCTAATGTTTCAGTAGACAGTTCAATTTCAAAAGACTATCTTTTTCTAAATATTATATCATATGTCAGGCTTTACAGGGTTAACATGCAACTCACTATAATTCCATTTATTGTAAACATCTGAAGTCCAGAATCTGTAAACGTGAGCATTTTGCTTTTGTGTACATTGTTTTGCATGTTTTCTAGTCTTTATGATGTTCTGGTGCAGATGCATGTTGTAGCTCAGCCTGTCGAGACGGTTGACACCGAGTGCGAAGGTGAAGGTGAGCTTCCTGCTGAGGATCCTGTGGTAGATGTACCAGTGCCAGAGGAGATGGTGACTACAGCTGAAACTGTTGCTGCAGTTGAAACGGTGACAGAAAAAGTAGTAATTGAAGTTGAGCCTGTTGCTGACGCCGCAGTGGAAGTTGTCGGGGTCGTGGGAGAGCCTGACGTTGAAGCCGAAGCCATAACTGTTGAAAATGAGCCTGCTGAAGTACACAAAGTTGCAGAAGTCACGGAGGTGCCTGACACAATACATCTTCATGGCACATTGCAATGGACTCTTTGCATGAATGTATTTGCATGCACAACAGGTGACTTTGTCTTGTCCATTCTGTGCACTTGTTTGGATAATTGGGCATGACATGAGCCTCACTCTACCCATACTTTTTACATTCCCTTGGACACTTTGTTCCATGTTTTTGAGGCACACTATACTAACTAGTGCTAGCATATATATATATATATATATATATACACACACACACACACACACAGACACATATTTTAAACAAGTTCCTTCCTTTCTTACAGGATGTACATGCAGAGACTGAACCAGAAGAGTTTCCAGTGGTAAATTCTTTAGATTTTTTTCCCCCAGTCTGCATTTTTTGGGATAGTTCACCCAAAAAATATTAAAAATGCTATTATCGTTTTCCCTCTCATGTCTTTCCAAACCTGTATGACTTTCTTTCTTCTCTGGAACATAAACACAGATGTATCTTAGTGTCTATACAATGAAAGTCAAGTTGTTTTGGACCCCTTGACCGACAGACAGATGTCAAGGACCTGATATATGAGTTCTTTTAATATGCTGTATGTGTTGCAATCTCTCGTCTCAAAAACAGTACACACGACAAAACTGAAAGCAGTGAAAAAAACAGCAGTTAAGAAAGCATATGATCATAACAATGTGGATATGTTTGCACGTTTAATTATATAGCATATATATATTTACTTACTTGATTTTACTTATATATTCTCTTATATATTTTTATATGTAACGCAGAAGGTGTTTACCAGCTAGAGGGAACCTTTCCAGAAATTTTGCTTTGGCAAGCTGTTTCGAACTCCCAAAACAAATTCTAAACAAACTTTGTTTTGGTTTGATTTTGTCCAGTTTGTTTTTCCATTACGCCTGAAGAATATCGGGCCTTCAGTGTTCTTGTATATTATGAAAGTCAAAGGGGCACAGTGTTGTTTTGTACCCTACTGATTTTTACTGTAAAGACAAAATAAAACCAGCTGAAACATTCTTCAAAATATCTTAAGAATGTAAGTCAGAGCTGTATGTCTTTATAGCTGTATGACTGTGAAACACAAACGCAGATCCGTCTCAGTGTTTTTGTCTATCCAATGAAAGTCAAATGGCCTCATAGTTGTTTTGGACCCCTTCGACTATCACTGTTTTGAGGGGGGAAAAAGAGCTCACTTGAATAAGATTTACAATGCATGCCAAGGGGCATAGACATAACATGCATTCCTTTTATTAGGAAGCTGCAGTACCTACAGAAGCTTTAGTGGAACCAGAGCCTGAGCAGCAGCAGCAGTCAGTCCTACTGGAGGAACCCACGGTAAGTCCTTTCATGGGATAATTTCAAGCATTTTTGTTTAGAATCCTTTTAGATTGAAGTTTCATTTTTAACATGGTTTCTTGCCCTCGGGTTTTCACATACTCAAGCCTTCGGTTGAGTCTACGAGTGACCCCATCACTGAAGAATTTGTTGTGACTGAGAAAGTAGCTGCTGACACAACTGCTGCAGAGGAACAGGTGAGCAGTTGAAGTCAGTGAGCAGACACACCTACAATGTGCATATCAGGCATTAAATCCTGTTAGCTTCTTGGATGAGTCTAAATAGAATATATGGCACTTTCCCATAGATTCCTGAAACAGCAACAGATGCCTCCGAGGTTCAATCAGAGACACTGTCAGAAACAATTCCTGCTCCTGAGCCACTGCCTGTGCCTGTAGCAAAGGAGATTATACAAGTGAGCTTTTAAAATGTTTAACTCAACTGCTGCATTCTGTGCATGCTGTGTGTGGTATCTGTAAATAATGGGATATATATATATATATATATATATATATATATATATACATACACACACACACACACACACATATACACAAAAGTTAAAGACACCTTTAATGATCACCAAGGCTGCATTTAAATGATTTAAAAACATATAGAAATAGAAGAAATAGGCTATTGTGAAACATTATTGCAATTTAAAACTGTCTCTATCTGAATATATTTTAAAATATAATTTATTCCTGTGATGGCAAAGCTGAATTTTCAGCAGCCATTACTCCAGTCTTCAATGTCATATGATCCTTCAGAAATCATTCTAATATGCTGATTTGGTGCTCAAGAAACATTTCTTATTATTTTCCATTAAAAACGATTGTGCTGCTTGATAATTTTGGGGAAACCATGATTTTTCAGGATTCTTAGATGAATAGAAAATTCAAGTGTCTTTTTGCTGGTTTGTTTTTATTTCAACAGTGAAGTTATACATATTTATATACATTTCAGGCTCAAGATGAATTAATGGCGCAAATAGAAACTGAAACTATAAAGGTATTTTTCCCTCTGTATTTTATTTATTTTTATCTTTTCGATGTATGAAATAAAAATATTATTTGTTTTATTTAATGTTGTTTCTCATTTTTATAGGACTTGGCAGTGGCTGGTGGCCTAACTGTGGATGCCATAAATGGATGTCTGGGAGCTACCGAAGTTGCAATTGAAGGTTAAAGTGCCTATGGTAAGAATGTGGAGTTCTTAAAGAGATAGTTCACCTAAAAATTTAAATTCTGTCATCATTTACTTACCCTCAGGTTGTTCCAAACCTGTATGAATTGCTTCTTTCTGCTGAACACAAAAGAAGAACATTAAAATATCTGTTTTCTGTGTTTTACAGTTTCATATGATATAAAGAGATGGCTGAAATATGAAACATTGCAAAGTGCCTTATGTGCTGATTCTCACCGAAACAATGACAGGGATGTGTGCTTGTTCTTCGCTAGTGGAGTTTTTCTGAATTTACCTCAGTTTCCATATGCATGTACGGTAGATTTGATGGCGTTTAACATTGCATATGTAGTAAAGTAAAATGGAGGGATGTTGCAAATGTATATGTTTTTACTTGGACCATTTTGTAATGTGGAATGAATACTTGTTGTATTTGATAAAATGATTTGGAGTGGAGTGCTTTGGAGCACAATTTCATACTATACCATCACCACATCTTCTGTTCCCCCCTCAACCATCCACATGGGCCTTTTTCTAAATGATAAATAAAGGGAGTTTGAGGATAATTAGTCTTTAGGAATTAGTCTTTCCTATGCATTTTGTTTGGATGAAAATAGTATAGACTAAACAACTTTATGCCCTAAGACTGACAGATTAAACACTGGATGTCACCTATTGAATTTGTATGGGATGTGAAATCTTGACTTGTAAAATGGAGCCAAATAAGTTATTAGGATAGATGACAGCAAATGACCCTTGAGTTTATAGGGATGCACTTTAGTTTATCTATCAGGGGCAATACATTTTAAAGACACATTATTCATTAAGGTAAATAAATAGAAACACAGGGAATATCTTGCCCCCGTCAACATGCCCCAACTGCTTTCTGAATTGACTATCAATTGTTCTATATGTTGTACAATTAGTGCTGTCAAAATTAGCGCGTTAACAAATGCGATTATTTTTTTCAGTTTAATGCGTTAAAAATATTTAACGCAATTAACGTAGGGGCGGAGCTAAGGTTGGCCACCCCACTCACAACTGCTGCTTCTGTTTGTACAATTAGTGCTGTCAAAATTAGCGCGTTAACAAATGTGATTTTTTTTTTTCAGTTTAATGCGTTAAAAATATTTAACGCAATTAACGTAGGGGCGGAGCTAAGGTTGGCCACCCCACTCACAACTGCTGCTTCTGTCTCTCCTTTTTCTTGACAAGAATTGTGTTTATTTAGACGTGGAATGTCTTTACAATCTACCAAACGGGAGACTTTCAGACCCGCACTCCAACTTCGCCTCAGCGCCAGGCGCTAGTCAGACGAGCGCGGAAAAGATACAGGTGACCAGACGAGAGAGCTTCAGTAGAACAACAGTGAACTCGCAGTCAGATGAGATGTTGTCAGGCCAAATAAATAGTATGCCAAATAAAAACGAAAACTTGTGGTATTAATACGCAGAAATGGGTTGTGGCGTGTATATGCTATGCGATGGGTAGGATTAGGTTTGTGGGGTAGATGCGTATCATATGTATGCGAAAACTGCATATCATATGCACGCCAACAAATTTCGTATCATATGGACGTCAAACACATGCGTAGCATATACACGCCAAAGTCCATTTTTGCGTATCAATACCACGAATTTTCGTTTTTGAGACCGGGCTCCTCGCTGTAGGCTATACAATTTCATATTAAAGCGCAAATGAAACTACGAGCATGCAATGTCGTAGTTATGTCGTCAGTTAAGTCATGAAGTTACCAAAAAGTTGATTAAAGCTGCCTCAAAACTGTGTATGCATGAAGGCCTATTTGTTATGAGTCACATTTAAGAACATGTCTCTGAAATGCAGTGGGTTTTCCAAACTGTCCTGGAGCAGCCCAGCACTGTCACCATCATCTAACACACCCGATTCAATTCGTCAGCTCATTAATACTTTAAGACCTGAAGTGGGTCAGAAAAGATTAAGAGCTGCGAGAAAATACGATGCGTGTCAGATCGGCATTATGTTCTGCTGCGTCAGCTCTAAAAGCAGCCAAAATAACCTAATAACCCAGCTGCTGTGATGTCTGTTCATCAAAAACAAAAGAAAAAAAAGGTAATCAGTAACTTTTGTAGCTTTAAGGATTCATCTATATTTCATTTAGAATTTAGTGTTTGATAACTTTATTCAATTTCTACATATAATAACCTAATAACCCAGCTGCTGTGATGTCTGTTCATCAAAAAACAAAAGAAAAAAAAGGTAATCAATAACTTTTGTAGCTTTAAGGATTCATCTATATTTCATTTAGAATTTAGTGTTTGATAACTTTATTCAATTTCTACATATTTCCTACTTTCTGAAGGGCACAGGTAAATATGACATTTATTATATTGGGTTTATGTGAAGATTGTTTTAAGTTAACTTAAATTAGAAGTTTTTTTTAAGTATAATAAATGTTAAAATTGATAGCGCTCAATTAGTGCTCTGGTGGCAGTGTTTTAACTTTTAAAACATTTTCATTTTTTAAAACATTAAAAACATCTGAAACATTTATCTTTCCTTCTGATTGTCATCAAACCCTAACAAAGTAACTCAATTAACCTAACAAAAGAGTGCTCAGTTTCCTCTTACAGTACAGTACAGTACAGTACAGTACAGTACAGAGGCTTCACCTGACAAAAAATGTCTGCAGTCAGATCTCCCCTCTTAATAAATAAAATATCACAAGCTGAGACCAAATCAAAGTAAGACCAGTTTTAAGCCATTTTCATCCAGATACTTTTAATACTCGTTAAGTTTAGTCAAACAACCTATCAATTACAATATAAAGAATAGTGGAGGAATGTGGTGACTCCGTTAAAGATGTGTTCTTATAATTGCTTCACCAATCAACAAGGTAAGTTTCATCCCATTGTGTGATAAGATAAACATATTACAGATATTTTCCATGTGTTTATATGGATAATGCATTTTTCCATACGTTTATGGAAAATATTTTACTGTGATAACAGCATTGTGTAAGCATTGTATTACAGTATATAATGACGCTGGGGTACAATTAGATATAGCTTAATATGTGTATCCACAGGCATCAGTGTCTTAATTGTTTACTTCAGAAGAATCAATTTACATTGTTCCATTTAGTCAGAGCAAATAATTTAATAAATTATACATTTTTGCTCAAATGCCATAGCAGGTCAGAATTTGTGTTGTTAAGTTATTTTGAAGGCAGTGAACTGATTTTAATATTGCCCAATCATTAAATTATTATTTAATGATTACTCTCTAGAGCAACATATTTCATTACACATGATAAAAACAGGAACAATTTTGAGCTCAATATGTGCTATAAAAATAACTCTTTAAAAAACAGAGAGATAAAAAAAGAGGCATTATGAGATTTGATTAATCAGAAATTGAGGTGGGAAAAGTTTTCAACTAGATTTGTTTTTCATTTTGATGAAAGCATTAAAGAAACTAAAATGAAAGTTAGAAAAGTTTTAAAACTAAATATAGTCTGAGGGTCAAATGAGGAGAGAGAAAGTAATAATCAATATACTGTAAATAGCTGCAAGAAGTAGAATTTTACTATGAAATTATTATGAGACAATTATAAGACAATTTTTACTAGTGTGGGTTGTCATCGTAAATAAACTAGTAATCCAGAATTTTAAAGAAATTTGATTTTTTGCTTTTACTTTAGCTATAATATTCAATTTAACAGCATCTTTGGCATGTTGTTGTTTACCAAAGCAAATTATTTCAACATGACCACAGGTTCTGTGTAAAGAAAATGAATGAATGCCTTTTATTGAGATTTGTTTTCTCGATTAATGGCAGCAAATTGGAAATCATTCAAATACTTGATCAGCATCAAAATAAATGCTTCAAGGCAAATGGTACAGGATCGCCTGAGGACACTTCTACAAGGATACTCATTTCCATATAGCGTCAGCCAAAATGTCATATAACCAATGTGAATCTCAATACAAGTAAGGCTCTTTAGTAAAATTATTCCTCATCAGTCATAGTGCTAGTAGTAGATAACTAATAGAATAATACACATACATGTGTAATTCATTAGTAAGTAAATAGTGCTTTGTGCCCAATGAAAAATTGAGCTGTAATGAATGTTTATCATGAGTTAATTTTAGTTAATTGATTAGTTAATAAATTAGTTAAATGCATAGTAGCCTACACATCCAGTTACTCTAAAAATTACATATACCAGGAGAAACACACAGACATTAACTGTGTGCTATCAGGGAGTGTTACAAAATACTGGATATTAAAATTTTGGTCTATTTTTGATAGCTCAGCCTCTAAAACTGTTCAAATACACAACTGACATAAAAATTAATGCACCAAGAGGAGCCGTGATAGAGCAATTGAGGGACCTGATACGCCAACAGAAATACCCTGTGTGCATCAAGAAAAGCTTGAAAATATCTAGTGTGAACATCACTACAGGTAAGAAAAGTATAAGAGGCGTAATGCCATTCTGAAATCATTTCTATGTGGATTCTCTAATATGTTTACAATTTGTTTAATTTTTAGTGTGTGTCTCAAATTCAAACAAAAGCCACTGCAAATGTGAGAATTGGTCCTCTGAACAATGCTCTAAACATGGCGTTTGTGGCCCCAGTCAAAATGATACCTGCAGATGCATCACTTCTCTTCCAACTGATGGACCGTTCTGCCGGCGACCACCTGGTAATGAAGTCTCTCTTTATTTCAAATCCAAGCTGACAACTGCATGAAAATATAAGTACAATGGAGTTTTTTACCTGTTCATTATTTTCGTCTTTGCACAATTTTTGCAGCTCCTCTGAAGTTGTTCAAATACAACATTAACATAAAAATCAATGCTTCAAGAGACGCTGTGATAGAGCGCTTGAGGGCTTGAAAGCTCAGCCTCTAAAACTGTTCAAATACACAACTGACAGAGCAATTGAGGGACCCGATACGCCAACAGAAATACCCTGTGTGCATCAAGAAAAGCTTGAAAATATCTAGTGTGAACATCACTACAGGTAAGAAAAGTATAAGAGGCGTAATGCCATTCTGAAATCATTTCTATGTGGATTCTCTAATATGTTTACAATTTGTTTAATTTTTAGTGTGTGTCTCAAATTCAAACAAAAGCCACTGCAAATGTGAGAATTGGTCCTCTGAACAATGCTCTAAACATGGCGTTTGTGGCCCCAGTCAAAATGATACCTGCAGATGCATCACTTCTCTTCCAACTGATGGACCGTTCTGCCGGCGACCACCTGGTAATGAAGTCTCTCTTTATTTCAAATCCAAGCTGACAACTGCATGAAAATATAAGTACAATGGAGTTTTTTACCTGTTCATTATTTTCGTCTTTGCACAATTTTTGCAGCTCCTCTGAAGTTG